TAAAATATGCCTGCGTTACTTAATGACTGGCCACTAAAATATGCCTGCGTTACTTAATGACTGGCCACTAAAATATGCCTGCGTTACTTAATGACTGGCCACTAGGTCACACGTGTTATAAAGGAAAAACATGTTTTCACTATCCAGATAGATAAAGTGGTATAGATAATGGATGGATGGATGGATGTTTTCTCTGTCTTTGCAAAACCATATAAACATATTAAGTACCCTTACAAAACTGACCTAACATTTAATTTAAATGTGAAGCAACATGTGTATATAGTTACGTAAATTTTAATGTTTCATGAACCTGTAAAAAGCACTTCCGTTCTGTGCAGCTCTCAAATTTTCATTTTACAGGGTGGTTTGGGATACTCATTTATATTCATGACAGAAGTGATACTTGATTGGCTAGTGAATGTGCCTTCATTTAAATGTGCAGCCTGATTGGCTAGTGATTGTGCTTCCACCTAAATGTGCTACCTGATTGGCTTGTGAACGTGCTCCCATCGACATGTGCTACCTGATTGGCTAGTGAACATGCTCCCATCGACATGTGCTACCTGATTGGCTAGTGAACATGCTCCCACCTAAATGTGCTACCTGATTGGCTAGTGAACATGCTCCCACCTAAATGTGCTACCTGATTGGCTAGTGAACATGCTCCCACCTAAATGTGCTACCTGATTGGCTAGTGAACGTGCTCCCACCTAAATGTGCTACCTGATTGGCTAGTGAACATGCTCCCATCGACATGTGCTACCTGTTTCCACACCCAGCACTCTTTACAGAATCCAGATCAGTCTGCAACCTTGCAGAAACAGCTACTGACAACTTATCACCCCAAAGAAGTCCTTAACTGAATTTCCTTAAGTCATTTGAAGTTTGACTGTAAATTTTAAGCATTTGCTTTCCTTATCATAGGCTAATAGTATTCTGACTTATGGGTTCTGGTAGTTTGTGATTAGCATGGTTTCCTCTATAGTTAGCGATTAGCATGGTTTCTCATGCATTCTGTCTAAGGCGGTTCACTGGCTAATCAGGTAGTGCCTCTGTCATGAATATAAATGAGTTTTCCCACACCACACTGTAAAATTAAAATTTGTGCTCTGCTCAGCAAAATGGAGTAGTAACCAATACTTCACTTTTTTGTATGCACTTTCATGGCCTATCAGAGTGCCTTCGACTTGCCTTCAATTTAAGTGTAAAAAGTTGTATAACGAATGGTTTTGTAGTCTAGGCTACAGTTAAAGACAACCCCAAATGCAACAAACACAAATGATAACAGTTCTAGTGTGTTTCTTGTTCACCTCATCAGAAATCAAGTGTGTCCCATTGTTTTCAAAAAATGCCCGGGCACTTGAGCTCTTTACCAATACTTGCACACCTCGCATGCTACGTCAACATTCCTCACCAAAGTAATGGGATGAAGCCCGAGAGTCTCTTGTTTAGTCAGCCAGATCACTTGACTCAGCTAAGCAAACTGCTCTGCATTTAGTCCTACTTCTGATGTTTATAAGTCATCCAAATTTAGCAATGTTTTGACCTATGACTGGTATGTGTGCACACATATCATTTAAATCATTCAATGTGTTTATATATTTATGATGTATTTTTACCACGCAACTGAATGGGTCCAACTATATAAGTTGCTAGCAGCAGCTTTTGGGAAACACACCCCAGAATGAGAATGAGAGGCCAGAAGGAATGGATGGGTTCGTGAATGAGTTGATGAACAAGAGAGTCTCTCCATTCCTTCTGGACTATCATTCTTGTTCTGAACAAGAGACCTGAAGAAATGAATGAGTTGTTGAGTGAGTAGGCAAATGAGAGACTCAGATAGGCTACTGAACAAGAACGGTACCTCAGTCATGACTGAAATACACCATCTACTGGTGTAGTATATAGCCTACATGTAAAGTGACTTCCCATGTGCTACAAATTAGATTTTAGTAACGCAACATTTTCGCAATTTAAATGATTTCAACCAAGGTTTGTTAGCTTTTGGCCTCGTTCTATGTAATGACTTGGTAGGTTTGCATTTTTAATAAACATCAGTAGCTAAGGTACAATGTTGAGAGACTTAGACTATTGAATAACAAATACTTTATTTAACAAATTATTTTTCTCACATGACTTATTAGTGGTATTAGGCTTACTCCTTAGTACAATTTAGCCTAAATAATAGGCTATTTTTGACATATTGAAACACAAGGGTTTCAGATTTATTTTATGCAAACAGGAAGTGCCACTGAGTTGGTTAACGAATCAGAATAAATCTTTTAGGATGGCTGAATAAAATAAACTATGTCACCAAAAAAAAAAGATTTATTTCACCCATCATTAGTAAACAAGAGTACACACAGAGCCCATGGGAGAAGCAAATGTCACACTGAAAATGTTTTCTAAACAATAATTGACTCTTATGGCTCATATCAGAATATTCCTCTCAAGATAACATTACCCAAAATAAAAACAAACAAAATGACATAAAATGTGATCAGTGGTGGGCAGGGTTCTGCTAATGGCTAATTAGTGCAGCTAACTTTTTTGTTAGTGGCTTAGCATTTCCGCTAACTTTGAAAAATATTAGTTTCTGCTAAATTTAGTCCTGCTAACATTTTTGCAGGTAATGTAACAATGCATAGTGGTAAAAATCATACACATTTTTTCCTGTCTGTTGTGGGCGTCTGCAACAGTCTATCTGGCACGCTGTTGGCTGACCACGTGTAAACGCAAGTTGTGATTGGTCGATAACTTGTTGTACTTAAGGTATTCTGGGCTAAATATAAGGGAACGAAGTTCATTTAAATTGGGATACCTTGAACTAACTGGAAAACAGGCTTATATCACAAAGCTGGATTTCTTGCATAGTCGCATAATTTGTTGGATTTCAGGAACTCTACTTTAAATGGACTTTATCTTAGTTCACTTACATTTAGCCCAGACTACCTTAAAAACGACACATTATCCAGCTAAACAAGAAATCCTGCTTCGGCCCCTGGTTATTTATCTTTACTTTCTGGGTTCTGATTGACAGAGCTATAGACTAATACAAAGTTAAGACCCTCCTTCCTAAGTTCTGGGTAACTGGCGCCATGTTTGTAGTCCCCAACTTGCCTTCATTGAGGGCAAAATGTCAACCTGAGCCAGGACTCCTCCAACAAAAGTGATTATATGTCATTGAAAGAAAATTTACCCTGTTGAATCCAACGTTCCCAAGTTGAGTAAGTCCTAATTATTCCTAGGTAGTCACTCCTTGTGGAAATAAATTGCTAAACAGGTAAGAATTTCAGCTCTCTAGGTATGTTTTCAAGGGTCTCAAAGCCAAAAACCAAACCAAAGCTAAATTCATATAATGAAAATTAGCAGTTATCATTAGCTTGAGCTAAATTTTTTAGTGGTTTATCGGTTTAGCATTATCAAATTAAATGTTTGAGTTAGTAGATTAACAGTTATTGAAGCTAACTTTTCAGTTAGCAGTGCCCTGAGTGTGTTAATCACTTCTTAGGCACAGCCATCAATAGTGTGTCTGTCTGCAGGGAGAATGTCGACCTTGTTGTGAGGTTCACTTACTTCGGCAGTGACATTCATGTCTCTGGTGACTCTGGCTTTGAAGTCAGCAGACGGACTGGGAGAGCATGGGGGGTCATGAGGTTGCTATTAAGGGGTGTGTGGCGCTCCCGATATCTTTGCAAGAGAATGAAGGTCCAGATCTTTAGTGTCCTGGTGCTCCTTGTCCTGTATGGCTGTGAGACATAGATACTATACAGTGAGCTGAGGTGAAGACTGGACTCCTTTGGTACCGTGTCTCTTTGGAGAATCCTTGGGTACTGCTGGTTTTGTCTTGAACGAGTGGTTGCTAGAGGAGTCCCAAATGAGGCACGTTTCCTGCATCGTGAGTTACGGCACTACAGCCATGTGGCGCGTTTCCCTGAGGGTGATCCGGCCTGCAGGGTCCTCATTGCTGAGGACTCAAGTGCCTGGATCAGGCCAAGGTGACACCCACGTAATACCAGGCTGTGACAGGTGGATGGCCATTTCTGTAGGGTGGGACTGGACCGTGTGTCTGCCTGGGGGGTCGCCAGCCAGGATCCTGAGGTGTTTCATCATGTGCTGGGTGCAGCACCGTGCTGCATCAATGCATGCCCCCCAGCCTGACCTAGCATCACTGTTTATTGAAGTTGTTTAGTTTAGTTTACACATTTTATATGTATATTTTAGCAGTTAGAGAGTGTGGGTTAGCCTGTGTACATAATTTACATGTTATGCTCATGTCCTTTGCCATGACCACTGGATAACATTTGTTTGCTACTTGCAACTTGCATTGTAAATGTTCTGTCATTTTGCACATTGACAGAAATTTAAGAAGGATATGTTCGGTTTATTGTGCGATTTGGGATGCCAGTTGTTTTATTTGTTTTCTTGATTGTTTATGCTTTCCTTTTTAGACATTTGGACGAGTATTGGATACTCTTGGGATTAGATCCACATATGGGTATGCAGCATCTGTCGGAACTATATGGGGATCATACTGAATTACAACAGTCTAACAAAGTACAAGGGAGGGGTCAGCTATGCACTTCGTCATTTGGAACGTAAAGGGACTGAATGGGTATATTCGCTCACCTAAAGAAAATTAATACAGATATAGTGTTTCTGCAGGAAACGTATCTACAAATGGCAAATCAAGTGAGATTCAGGAAGTCGTGGGATGGATAAGTTTTCCATTCTCAATTTAACACAAAGGCGAGAGGAACAGCTATTTTAATTCATTAAAAAAAGCATTGTTTCGGACATGTAAAGAAAATACGTCATTGTCTCGGGTTGCCTTTTTCATACTCCTGTTGTGTTAATCTGTTTCTACGCACCCAACTAAAATGATACTACTATTGTTCATAAGCTCATTTCTAAGATTCCAGACGTGAACAAATCATTTCCAGTGGAGATTTAAATTGTGCTGTAGATCCAGCTTTTGATCATCCAAACAGTAAAACATCACACCCAAGTAAAATGACCTGGGATTTTTCTACCAACATGACACGGTTAGATTGTTGGGATCCATGGAGATTCTTCTTTCTGCAACACACAGTTTTCTTATTTTTCTGATGTACTTTTTTCCTATTGAAGGATAGATTTTTTCTCTACTCCTTTGCCTGCTCATTCCCTTTATAAATGTACAGATTCCTTGTCCAGTCCAGTAAACCCCTTTCAGCATTCTATGTGTTTTTGTGTGATGCTGGCATGAGGATTTCTCTCTATCCACTCCACTGTGCTGGCACACTATCTTTAAAAACATCAAGCATGCTTCTAAAAACCCTAATCACCAACACATTCCATTTAGATTTGTGCACAGGACATAGCATACCCCAAGACTGTGTTTCGCCTTGGCCCCTTTGTAAATTGTGCCCACTCAAAGCTCTTGGTACGTATTTCCACACGTTCTCCTCTGTGGTCTCTTTCTTTTTTACCGGTGTGTAAGTTGTGACTGTCCCCTGTTCTTCTCAGTCACTGTTACTCTTGGATTTCTCTCCCCTTTCTTTTCCCAATTTTCAGCAACAGGTGATTTCTTCACATCAAGGGGAGCATATTGCTTATTGCGTCTGGTTAATTTCTGCTGCATTTTTTTAGTGTTTGTTTAGTTTCCTTTTTATCCTGCTCTAGATGTGGGGGGGGGGGGTGTCGGTGAAGTTTTGGTTGTTTTTTTGGTTTTTTTAATGTATTAATTCTGAAGAGCTCAGTGGATTCAAGTCAAATTTCTTTCCTCCCTGATATTGCACAGTCAACTGGAAAGGGTATTATTGCAAAGTTGAAGCATTTTGGAATAACAGAAACTCAGCCACAAAGTGTCAGATCATGAAAAGTAACAGAGCATGTGAACTGTGCATGTAAACTGGGACAAGGACTGTAGTCCGAATAAATGGCCTAGTCGAGCTTTAACTGTAGCGCGACTTAACTGTGCATGTAAGCTGACTGTAAATCGTCAGCAACATGGACTGATTTCCTAAAAAACAATGATCTCTGGTCATGAGCCAAGGTTTGGTGTTTTTCACTCTGTTAGCCTATGTGATGCTGTTAAGGTGCTTTTTCAAGAGTCTGTAAAAAAAAGTGGTGCGATTAGTCTCTAGTCTGTAGCGGGTGGCAGACAGGTTGGTAGATGCCGCTGTCCAGGCAGGTCATTAATTTTTCCAAAATTAACATCACATTATACAATAACAACACATTGTGTATAACTTCACAAAATGCGACAACTTTTAATCATAAAATGCGATGTTATCACAGAATGCATTGTCAAACACCGTGTAACAATATACTGTATAATATAATAACTCGACGAAATGTAACAATTTTTTATTAATGTATAATTTAGGTACAATTTTAGGGGTGCATTTGCCAAAAGCTTTCTGCCGTTATCTCGTACTTAAAATCGTTGATTAATGAGTGTTTCTCAAAACCCTTTGTAACTAAAGTAGTTTGTAACCTCATTCATAAACTAACAAGTGATCCAACCAACTAATTTTTTTCTTTATTTAAACTTTTGCCTGCTATTTTGTCACAGAGACACAGACGTTTCCTGAAATTGATCACAAGAACATGCTGATACTCTTTTTTGGACAATGATGATTATAAGGAAAAGTAGTAAAGATGCCCCAATGTTCTTGGTTGATCATTTGAATACAGACAGTGTTAGCAAGTTATGATCATGAGGGAAGTCAGGGAGCAAACGGGGACTCCAGTCGGCACCACTAGGGTGATAGGGTGTTGGGAAAGTCACCGTCCTGTCCTGTCCCGTCCCTGCCTCAGGATCCTCACACTCCAGGGGGTCACTCTTTATATGCAAATTCACTCACAACACCTACACACGGCACCTTGTTGGGGAGGGTCTTTTGGGGTATAAAGGGGGGTGAAGAACTGCCCTTAATTTGTATTTGAACTGCATTTCAATATCCGGTGTATTTATACACTGTATTGCATTATATTATTTTTACTGTTCAATAAACCACCGTTTTGCTGAAACGAGTGGATTCCTTACAATGATGATAATTATGATCATTATAATAGGTTAATGTTACAAAATCAAATTATAATGTAGGCTATAAATGTATTACATTAATTTTTTTTATAAAGTTATTACATAATGTGCTGTTTTTACATAATGCACTGTAACAATGCATTATGTAATAACACCATATTAGTGATGAAAATTTGTAACACTGAGTTTAGTACAGAATACAGTGGTACCTCAGAACTCTAAATTAATCCGTTCAGAACTTATAAGAAATAATGGAAAAATTAAAAAGAGACGTGTGGCGTGACTCATTTCCCCGTGCGTACAAGTTATCTTAGGTCGCCATTCACTGTTTGACATCTGAGATTCAGATCGAGTTCTAGGTAATTTTTTTTCTAACTAGTTGGTTCGACTTTTAAGAAATTCGAGTTCTAATGAGTTCGAGAACTAAGGTACCACTGTACATTATTACAGTGTATTACAGTAGTTGGTTTTTCTGACAAAAAGGATCCACAAAAATGTCACTTCATACAGCTTTCATTTTCAAGCACATAAATATCAGATGGCACAAAGCAGGTGCACAAATAGTTACATTTATGGGTAACATCCACATTTTGGAGAGGACATATTCTGGGTTACTATCCTGACTTTGAAGTTCTGTCCTTATTAGTCCTAATAACTCGCCTACCTTGCTACTGTCCTTTTTTACACATGGGTATTTCTCAGTTATAACAACACCACATGCCTCCCTTTCCTCTTCCATCAGGTCACTGCCAACCTGGCCCTGAGCATCGCCTCTTTAATCACTGGAGCACTGGCTTTCATGATTAATCTCTCCACTTTCATCAATCAACATAGAGAAGACATCTATTACTATGATTACGACATCAATTACAGCAACCTGACAAACATTGATGAAATCTGGAGTACATTCCATAAGGTGCCCATTTTCAGGCTCAAAGATACACATCTTTGAACAGGATAACATTCATGATGGTGTTAGGTAAGTGTTAGAGTTAGGCCTTGCAGAGCTGAGAGTGTTTGCCCTCCCCCTCACAGAACCAGGTGTCGTGCATGGAGGGTATCTGGCTCCTTCACTGCTTTGTGGGCGGCGTGATCCTGATCGTGATGACGGCGTTTTCCAGAGCCGCTCTGAGGTCCACCAAAACACAGGTACAGTGTGGTGACATCATAACCGTCACTGTCATCACAGTGCCATCTCTACCTACAGCTGTCCCAGCTCATGCTGGCAGAGAATGCACGGCTGATCGAAGCCACGTCAATGTGTGACGTCTTTTGAGCTTAAACTGAATTGTCCCTCTGTCTGCTTTTGCTTTTAGGCGACTGTCATAATGTACAATCGACCATCAGCGTAAGTCTGGACGGCTGGAAAAACTGTGAAAAACAGAATCAGTGCAGATGGATGGATTCCCTGATTTAAGCTTTAGAAGTTATATTTTGATACTGAAGTTAGGTGTTAAACCTCCTTGTCCCAGAAAATGGTCAGAGAAACTGAACTTCTGCTCCAGTACGGTAATGTGGGATCCATGGATTCCTGGTGTTCTAGGGAACTTGGTCCGGTCCAGCATCAGCTTGAGGTTATACTTTAAAAACACAGTATTATGCCATAAGATGTGCTGTACTGAAATATACACAAAATACTTCTAGAAATCAAGGTTGGATTGAAGTTTACCTGTACAAAGCATAGCTGTATAGTGTTAACTCAGCATATTAAAATAGTATTAATAACCTTTTAAAAAGTAACTTCTGGTTTTTAAAGCACCGTATAATATGTTGCCCCCCCCCCCCCCTGGAATTTACTTTGCATTTATGGATCAAATTTAATGCATGCAAACTAACAAAATACCTAACAGACCACATGTAAGGAAGACATGTAACTTTTTTTATGTATGTGTTTGTCTATAATAAACATAATAAACACAGATACATACATTGTATTTAGTATAACTGCGTTGGTGTCAATTAAAACTTTGGTTGGTTGGTTGGTTGGTTGGTTGGTTGGTGAATTGATTGATTGATTGGTTGGTTGGTTGGTTGGTCTCCAGCCGTAGGGGCTCTTAGGGTTACACGTTCACCTGCAGAGACCCTTGTCCTACTTCCCCATTCCCTTCTTATATAAAATCCTGCTGGTAGTCGTTGTTAGGTAGTTTTCATTTACCAGTCAGCATCATTATTGCACAGCACCATCTTTTTTATTTACATGCAGTGACCAAGATTCTCCTTAACTTTTTAAGGATTGTGTGTATTTGGCTTTTTCATGTAGTTTAACTGGGGGAAAAAAACAGAAAGTGCCACAATAGCTGTGCTGTTCCTCAACACAACTCTGCTTCGTGGGAGTCTGCGGCTTCCCAGCATCCAGCAACCATAAGGAATGCCAGGATAATGAGGAAATACGGCATCTTACTGGTCAGACCGGCCCAGGGCTCCCCCCCGCCCCCTACTCCAAATACAGCTGCCTCTTTTCATTTCCCTCCCCCTCTCTTCCGGCTTCCCTGTCGTCATCCAGTTGTGCAATATCTCATCTTGTTATTTTTTGTTTAGCCCTTAGCATTTATCCGTGTATGTTTACTCGTCCCTGCTATTTATACACCTACACCGTACTTTAGCATGTAGGCATATCTTTGCTGTTGTACCATATTTGTAGCCTGCTGGGCAGCCAACTTCGCCTCATTGCAGCAACCTAAACGTGCTATATTTGTAAAGTATATGTCTTGAAATACAAATCGTATATAGTTACAATTGCTGGTTTGGTGAATTCTTGCAGATACCCCCCACTTAATTGGCTTTGTTTCTTAGTGCTTATTGAAACAAAAAACTGAAAGAATTCCAAAGTGGCAGAGGTATATTAGTGATCATTTACATCCCATAATATATAGCATTAAGAATTTTTTGTGTCCATGATTGCTGGACTTAAACAAGGCCCTTAATCACCCAAAATGGTCCAAGGGCACCAGACCGATGGCTGAGCCTCTGCTCAGACCCCATGCTTTGCTCTCAGGCTGTACATATGTGTGTGAAGGTCTTAAAAAGAACAGGTAGATGGGACATGGGAAAAGTAACACAGCCTAGTATCACTCTACTCATGCTTGTTCAAATAGCCAGTCATGAATTGAGCATATACTGTGCATTAGATGCACATTCCAGTGAGCAGCACCTCAATCACTGGCCATGTTAAACCCAGGCAGGGCGGCATCCTGGCGGGTGTGTGGCGTGTTGAGGCTACTGGGGGCACTTCACTTCAGCAGGGCAGACCCCAAGATCTTCAGATCCTCTCATATTATTTTAACATTGCAGTTGAAGAGGAGATTAGGATGAAGGTGAGCTGCAGTCCATGGAGAGAAACTCCACAGCTCAGCTGCTCTCCCCACAGTCCCCTGAGCTGCGTCTCTCTTGTGTCTCGGACACGCTGTGGGACCTCGGCAGTGCTGCCAGTGCTGAGACATAACAAAGATGCCCTCATAGAGATGGCCAGATGGGTGACATTCACTCCCCCTGGTTCCGCATAGGATTCATCATAAACTCTAGCTGCAGATGTGGACCCTCCCCCTCCCCTCCCCACCCCCCATCTCTTCTCTCCCGGTTGTGTAATACACTCTGCTCTTTTTTCGGCTTAAATCAGGTCAGTGAGCCTCCACCCTTTAACAACTGTGTATGTGATTGCTTGTTTATCTGTGTACTTCACCGACTCCTGGTACATTTAGTGTAGTCATTCACTTTTTTCACACCTCCTTGATGACTCTGTATCTGTTCCGTTTTGTTATATCTCGCTGTTTTTCACGGCTTTCTGCATTTATAAAATGGAAGGAGTCGTGAGCTACAGTGACAGTAGTATTTTTTGTGCGCAAAAGTCATTGCTTTCTGTCACGTTCTGTCATGTTTATGTAAGGCTCCAGTTCTTCTCCTCACCCTTGGCTCTGCTTTCATTTATCAGATTTATTAGTGACGTCTGTTTAACTCTGTCTTTTCATTACGAAACTCGAACGACTCTGGGCAGCTAATGTACTTTGCTGCTGCGCCCGTGAGCATTGACAGAATGGCTGTAGTGGGCACGCGCATGTTTCAGTTGTGACTCGGTGGGATTAGGGATCTTACAGCGCTTTCCAACCCTCCGTGGTACATAATGCTATAGTCATATAATCACCACGGGAACATTTTTGTTGATTAATTATATTTGATTTATATCCGAGGTTTCTCCAAAGGAAAAGTACAGTACCCCCTTCACCCCTTCAGTTTGACATTCGCGGTTTCGGTTATTCGCGAGCTGGCTAGGAGAACAATTAAAAGGGGAATATTTTTGGAGCTTACCGAAAGATCGCAGGAACTCAAAGACAACGCGTAAGCAAAATAATACTGAAAATTATTCGGAACACATAAAATCATATATAAATATTACTGACTCAATATTTGTTAGTGCAAGTGTGTGTAAGTACATACTATATCTTTAATACTTAAAAGTCTTGACTTGTGTATGCCGTATAGCCTATCTGTCTCACTCAGTTAGCTGTCGCAGTAACTTTTAAACTTTTTTGTCGGTAATTTTGCATTCTTAATAATGTACCCAAAACGTAAAGCTCCTAATGCGTACAGCAGTAATTTTGTACATACAAGGGTATAATTTAGATGGTTTGTTTAATATATGAAAGGTCTAGGTGGAAAACCGCGGTTGTTAGCCTCATATTCGATATTCCGTTTTCTGGCTTTGTTTTAATGGCAGAATTGTGATGCCCAGTACACAGACAACGATGCATTTATTTGCGTACACATGATTTTTTTTGCGCTTCAAACCATTTCGTGATTTGTGCCAAATCGTGTTAATAGCTAATATAATAGGTCCTGTCAGCTGTAATGACATGGTGGTTTAGCATTTTGGGCTCATGGCGACTGCTGCAAACCACTTTGTTTCCCATATTGCTTTACTTACGAATTTTTTATTAATTTTTAAATGTTCGAATGTATCCGTATAATGTGCAATGGGACAATGCATGAATGGGTTAATAACTTTAAAACTAGACAAGACAGGCACATCTAGTGGAATGTGCTTTTATCAGTGGACGACAGGGAACAATGCACACCCCTTGGATTTTCAGATTATTTTTGTCTGTAATAATTATTAATTATTATATTGCATCCACTTAAAGTGCAATGGGGCAACACACTAAGGGGTTAATAGCTCTAAAACAAAATGGGACAGCCATGTCCTACGAAGTGTGCATTGATCAGGGAAACCTGGGGGACAATGCACACCCCTTACATTTTCAGAATAACTTTCTCTCTAACAGTTATTAATTAATACACTATATCCATATTACATGCCATTGAGGCAACGCACTAAAGGGTTAAGAGGTCTGAAACCAATTGAGACAGCCATGTCCCATGAAGTGTGTTTTCATCAGCTTTTCAGAATAACTTTCTCCCTAACAGTTATTAATTAATACGTTGTATGCATATTATATGCTGTGATGCCAGGCGAGAAAGGAGGAGACAGACCCCGAAATGCAGTAGCCAACTGGTTTATTCAATAAACCGAGAGCAAACAAGTCCAAACGGGCGATCCAGAATAATAGTCGATAGGCAAGCAGGAGTCGGTCACCGGGGAGATCAGTCCTACACAGAAGGACGAGACGGGGTGACGACGGGAAGGGAGGAACAGGATCGACGAGGAAGCAGGGCAGGACGGGGCAGTTAGGCAGAGCAGGCGAAACAGCAAGGCAGGACACAGCAGATAGGGCGAGTAGGGAAGACAAGAGAAAACGCTCGATATGGCACATTAGAAAATGGCAACAATACTTTGCACGGGGTTACCGGTGGATACGGTTTAAGAAGTGGGGCGTATAGCCGTGAATTAGCTGCAGGTGCTTGGTCCCGCCCATGTGGGAGTGACGTATGCCACTGGGGCGACGCACTAAGTGGTTAATTCAGCTGCGGTACATTTGCTTTGTCCCACGGTGCACTGCCTAAATCACACTTTACAACTTATTTATGGATTAATATGTTTTATCAATTAACTGTCAATATGTATGAAATGGAGCAATGGCATGTAATATGGAGCTATAAATAGCCAAGGGGTGTGCATTGTCCTCTGAAACCAATTGAGACAGCCATGTCCCATGAAGTGTGTTTTCATCAGTGGACTCTGGGGGACAATGCACACCCCTTGGCTTTTCAGAATAACTTTCTCTCTAACAGTTATTAATTAATACACTCTATCCATATTACATGCCATTGAGGCAACGCACTAAGGCAGGGGTGTCAAACTGCAGTCGTGCGGGGCCGCAGCCCTGTGTAGCTAAGTTCTTTCCCTGTTCCACCACAAATGATTCAGTTCAACAGCTGTGTGGTAATTAGCACAAGACGTTGAATCAGGTGTGTTAAACAAGGGGAAACCAAAAAATGTGCAGGGCTCTGGCCCTGCAGGACTGGAGTCTGACACCTGTGCACTAAGGGGTTAATCCTTTAGTGCGTTGCCCTATTGTTGTGTTATCGGTCAGTTTAACAGCCTGGGTTGAGGTTGAAGTGCGAATTTTCACAATGTTCCGCCCCTAACCCTCGCAAATGTGAAGGGGTTACTGTACATATTTCTAATTCCTGGCACTGTGCATGCTATTCTCTCACCATTTGTGCATTTCAAATTGCTGGTAGTTAAGAATTGCATAGGTATTTTATAACTAAATTTACAATTACAATAGCAGTCAAAAGTCTGGACACACCTACTGAAAATAATTAATTTTTCAACAAGATAATGACCATGGTAGCCAACTTGTGTGCTGAACTTGAGGAAACTCCTTCAGGATTGTGGGAGAAGCATTTCAGGTGTCTATGCCTGCAAGCTGGTGTCACGTCCTGCTCGCCATGTCTGCCTGACCCTCCTGTCCAAGGTTTTGATGGTGTGTGTCCTTTTATTCCCTGCCTTGTCCAGTGTCTTGGCCCTATACCCTGTTGTTTGGTCCTATGTGCCTGAAGGGCATGCTTGGGAGGGTACTGTCACGTCCTGCCTGCCATGTCTTCCTGACTCTTCTGTCTCCTCCTTGGCATGGCTTCTTAGAGCCAAGCCAGGTGCTCATTTGTCTTACCTCTTGTTCCTGCCTTCATATTAACCACTCCCAGTTGCCTGTCTGCTCCCTCATTAGTCACGTATTTAAATGTCTCCCAGTCCTGTGTTCCCCAGATCTGTCATTAACATGGTATCATCTGGTTGCCTGTGCCTTCCGCTGTGATCCCATTTGTTTCCAGTTTTGTTCGGTTCAATAAATCCCCCTTTTGTTTCTCCACCATGCTTGCTCCCTGAGTTCAGGCTCCCAGCCAAGAGAAGGCCGCTTTGCCTATGCTCCCAGCTCCCAGCCCAGAGAGAATTGCTTTGTCTTGCCTGTCTCCAAGTGTCCTGGATTCATTCTACCTGCATCCAGGTGTCCCGGCTTCATCCCGCTCACCTCCTTTTGTCCCAGTTTCAACCCACTTGCCTCATGGTGTCCTGGCTTCGCCCTGCTCACCTCCAGGTGTCCCAGCCTTGCCCTGCTTGGTCCAGCACTGTTTAGCACCCACCTCCATGTTCCCTGACATCCAGCCAGTGCTTGCCTTGTTGTCCCTTGACATCCCGCCGGTGTCCACCTTGTCTCCTGTAACTTGCCTGCGCCCGCCTTGTTGTCTCCTGTGGTCGACCCCTCCGTACCTGTCTCATTGTCTGCTGCATTCAGTAAATCTCCCTTTTGTTTCTCCACCACACCTGCTCCTTGAGTCCTTTGTCCCAGCAGCTCATGACAGCTTGTTGAAAGAATGCCAAGAGTCTGCAAAACTGTCATTAAGAAAAAAAGGAAATGTTGAACACTTCTCTGGGTCATTGCAATACTTAATATGTATTACTTCACTGCCTTGAGGCTTTCTAATATCAGATGAATAACAGCTAAAATAGAGACAAATGCATTAAAAGCAGGTGTGTTCAATCTTTTGAGTGGTACTGTTCATAAAAACAATAGTGCAGCAGGAACATTCTCCATAAAGTCATTGGAATCATTTAGCAATTTTATAATTATGACAGTAAAAGTCACTTTCCTGATTTGTTGAGGAGATCTATTGAATCTTTTCTGTTAAAAAAAGAATTAACCTCAATTAAGGTCATTAAACTTTTACCCACTAAAGTAAGGTTACAAGAAAAGTGTTGGTGTCCAGTGATGGACAGGATGGATATGCTGCAAGTCTCTGCCACAAGAAGGGAAGCCGCAGGAGACACTACAGAAGTGGTGGGCTTCAGCAAACCCCTGCATCGCTTCATGAGGGTGGATCCCAAGAGCATCGGGGTAAGACCAACGCCCAAAAAGATCCCCAGTCCACACTGGTGGGGAATGACTCCATCACCATCTTGACATGATATGCTGATCCTGCTTACATATGACCTCTGTGATTCAGCCCCTTGTCCTCCTTTTGTACAGGTCGTGATGCTCTTCCTGGGAGGCACGCAGTTCATAACAGGGATTCCAATGAAGCGTGATATCACAAGGAACTCCACAAACATCTACAGCTCATTCTGGCTGGGGATCCTGGTCGGTTGGTGTGGTGTGTCGTATCCAGCCTGATAGCTACGTCAGGCTAGCTAAGCAGTCCATTCTCTCAATTAGCAAATGTCTGCAGGTTTAATGCTTCACTTGCATCAAGGTTATTCAAGAATATCTGATCCAGCACTCAGATTTTTTAGATGTCAAGGCAGAAAGGTTCACTTTATGTGTGTAACTTTTTTAAATCTGTGCTTGAGAGATATCACAATTCCAATAATTACAATGACTATTATTATTCATGATATCATCCAAATTGTCTCTGAAAGTTATTCTCTCTCCAAATTTTCACACAGTTCAGCATTTGTGGTATTATTTACATCATTTCTGAAAAGAGAGTGTCCAAAAAAATGGTAAGTATTTGTTTTTTCATGGATTTTTCAATATTGTATTTGTCATAAAAACAACAAGATATACATTCATATTCCACCCGTTTCCTAATAAAGACACTGAGAGAATCAGAAATCCTACAGCCAGGCCACTTTTTCTACCGGTAACCTAGCTTGGTGCTGGTTTATTACTGTACTGCTGAAACATGTCAATTAACCTAGCTTGGTGTTGGTTTATTACTGTACTGCTGAAGCATGTCAATTAGGCTAGTTGGTGTTGGTTTATTACTGTACTGCTGAAGCATGTCAATTAGGCTAGCTTGGTGTTGGTTT